ATAATAAACATGCTTTTAGTCCTGGTGTCCTCTACAGTGGACCTTTATGAAATCAATATCCTGTTTCATAACAGGAAGTCATTTTGGTTTGAAACCCCATAACATTTTCCTGAGATGTTAATTTATGACAAACAATTTGAAAATTAATCAGATTTAATTGATAATTACAAAACATGATCATATCTCCATAATGATGTACAGTTGTATCACTAAATTAATGTCAGCCATATTTAAAGACCAAGCAGAGGGAGTGGTCATGGAGAAACTTCCAAACATTTGGTATCTCTGAAAAGCCCTGAATATGCTCTGTACATCCAGACTGAACACTGTGACATGTGAGGTCTCAGAGAAATTCACTAAAATATAATGTGACAAACAATTTTAAAATTAATCAATGTAATTGATAATTACAAAACATTGTATTTCCATAAGGATGTACAATTTTATCACTAAATTAATGTTAGCCATTTTTAAAGACCAAGCAGAGGGAGTGGTCATGGAGAAACTCCCAATCATTTGGTGTCTCTGAAAAGCCCTGAATGTGCTCTGTACAGGACATTCAGACTTAAAACTGTGACATGTGGGGGCTCAGAGAAATTCACTAAAATATAATGTCCACTACAGAGACAAAAACTCCATAGCTGGGTCTCAGGGGGATATGAACAGAACAAACATACTTGAAGAGCTAGAAATGCTCAAAGACTCTCAGTGCTTCCGTACTGTTTCTTATAGCGACAATGAAATAGTCCTTTTTAGTTGTATTTTTTAAAATGAAATGAATAAACAAGCTGTTTTAAAAATGCAAAGTTGCGTGATTTAATATTTGTGCTTTGAAACAGTTCAAATGCACCAAGAGTGCAGCAATTTTGTGTCTTCACTTAGCAGATCACAGAGTTTTCTCATGCATCTCCCATCATCAGCCTCTTTTGGTTTTAGGAATGTTTATTTAGTAAAGTTCCCTTTTTGATAAAGCGCTAAAAATCATTTGTAAAATGACAGTGACTGTGATGTAAAATCACAGGTTTTGGCATAAGCAAGCTTTTTAATTGAAGCTGAAATGTGTATTTAGCCAGGCAGAAAGGTAAGATGTCCAGTTCTTTTAAAGTATGCAGGGGTTTTGATATACTTCTTCATATTAACATTTTCATGTGGCATTAAAGTAACATCTTTATCCTAATTGAAAGGTCATTTGTAAAACATGTTTGGAATAAGCAATATCATCTAGTTTATCTTTTTATAAATTATTTTATCTTGGGACATGTTTTTTTTTTTATCTACAGGATGTATCATAGTTGTACGGTATGCTTTGTTTTTATTCATCTATGCAGTCATTTAAATCAGGGCAATTTTGTTGTAAAACTATACTGTGCAGATAAATATATTGCAGTATGCATTTGCTGGTAGGTTACAAAAACAATACACAAGTTTCATTCTTGCTTAGTCAAGCCTGATTTTGCGGTTATGTGGTTTGGTACATTCAGACTGTTCAGCAATTTTTTGTTGATTTTTGGAACAATATAATTTTGGTCACTTATTGATTTAGTAATTTATTGATTTTTTTATAGTTGTATAACAGTGAAAGTGTGACAAAGTTGACGGTCCTGATATTAAAACAAAGGTACGTTAAACCTTGTGCATGTAACCACAAGGCAAATGACAAAGATTACACAATATTTTTACTCATCCGGGTCATAACAAAATGTTGGATAAATTCATTTACAGCTGGATTTCTTTTCTTTCAAGATGTTTTGTCACTTTATCAGCTGATGGGAAAATACCCGACATAACACCATGCAACTTTAGTGATGACACATTTGAGTATGATGTTAAAACAGTCTCATGGATGTACTGAACAGTCATCAATATAGAATATCAACCAAAACTTGAAAATGAAATCTTAGACTATTTAATGAGCTTCTATTTTCATTTGTACTCCACCCTCCTTCCTCAAATTTGCACAGTCAACAATTTCATTAAATCACTATTGTGTGATGTAATATTTGCTCACATGGTTTGAAATAAGACTTGTTTGTATGCCGCATGACAGAGAAATCATACTTGGTGACTCGGAGATACATTTAGCTAATTTTTTATGTAGAAAACACGAGACTAGAAACTGGCACACAAGGTTTTTTAGGTGCAACGTGATAAAAATGGCAACAGCAAACAGTATAAAAAACACACACTAATACTTTCAAATATGTAACATAATTATCCACATTACAGTCTATTAATTCAAGATGTGGATGCCAAAAGCTATGTGCTCACAAACATTTCAAACCCAGAGTCCATTCATGCATTCTGCACTCATTTGCCAAACACGCTTCCTGATGGAGGCTTGGGTTTCTCAAGCACTGTCTCGCTTCCAGATCGTACTCCACTGAAAACAGACGGCGCCACCTTCCCCATGCGCTCTACACAACAGACAAAAACACAACAGACAAAAACACAACAGATTGATTTCAGGGATTCTGCACGACTCAAAAAGTCTTAATTCACCCCTCCACAAATTAGGGCCTTAAAAGTTATACCTAAATCAAGCACAAATATCTGTTAGTGGGGTATGAAAACTTTGAATTAACTGTATTTTTCTGAACCAAATGGCATATATTTGCTCTTGTTTGAATCACAAACACATTTTGATCAGTTTCTCAGAAAACAGTTTCTTGTGTTATTTTGCTTTTCAGTGTATCTTTGCCTTGAGAATCTTTAGACATTTTGCACTGGAAAGATCCTGAGAAGAAACATCACTTCTTGCAGGGTAATCAGAAGGTACAGTAAAAGTTATTTCAGTATTCTATTTTATTTATGGAGATCTGTTTGGAAACTTTCAAGTTTTGCTAAAACTATTCATTATCAGCTAATATTATCTGCTCCTTAGTTACATTTACAGAACATATTGATGTATTATATTCCCTTTTATTGCTTACATTTTCTTTACTTGGTCTTAAAAAGGTCTTTAAAAGTTTTAAATTTACAACAAAAAAAACTACAGAAACCTAGATAATTCATTACATACAATACAATTATATAGTATACAAAAACTACGTTATTATTATTATTATTATTATATTCTACAATAATACAATGCAATTTTACAACAATATACCATAGCAACTTTCTGAAATCTTGACATGGAAAATTTGTAAAATATAAAAAAGATCTTTTATACATTATTTTTTTAAAAGACAGTCTCTGTTCTAATCTAAACTACAATAGCTAATCTGTCTCTGATTTACGTTCCAAACATGGCAAACTTACCACACTCAACCATGACCTCGTATGTTTTGCTCTTGACCTCTCCCTTTAGCCCCAGTTTACTGCGGGCTCCTTTCAGGTCCTCCTCCTTCACAACTTGCCTCTTCTTCTTCTTAACCTCTGGCTGATGGAAATATCATTTCAAAAGAGAAATGCCTACAGTAGTTAGCACTTAAATCATTACACATACTTTTTTATTTCTAATCTGCGCATTGAATCGATATATTTTCATACCCGAGACATTCTGTATGTTTGCAGTCTGGTCTCTGAACAAGTTGGTGCGTTGCATACTTTGTTGTCTTTTCGCCCTGGCTCTTTTATACCCTTGTTACCAGCTCAGTGTAACCCGCCCCCTCACCCCTCCTCTCTCTTCTCATTATATATTATTAGCTCTGCAGTCAGTGTCAGAAAGCCTCTTTCTGAACATGACTACTATGAACAGCTGAACACATTACAGACAAAACACCCTCACATCCCTCCTCACAGATCAGTGACGTGTAGATGAAAGAATCCATTTTGTTGCTACAGGTCAAAATTGTAAAAAAAAAAAAAAAAAAAGTTTTTGATATATATGATA